CGCGTGGGCGGATGTGGGGGACGCGTCGGGCGCGTCGGCGTCGTCGTCGGCGGCGGCGGCGTCGGCGGCAGCGCTGAGGTCTGGCAGCATGTCGTCCAGATCCAGGTCGCCGTCGTCCTCCGCGCTGCCCAGCAGCGACAGCAGGCTCGCGTCCAGCGCCTGCGCGGCCGCGGCGCCGGTCGCGACGGCGGCGGCGGCGGCGGGGCGCGGCTGCTGGTACTGCGGCTGCTGGTGGTGCTGCTGCTGCTGCTGCGCGGGCCAGGCGTAGCCCGCGCCGGCGTAGGCGGGGGGCGCGCCGTAGGGGCCGCACATGCCGGTCGATGCCATCATCATGAAGGGGGGCGGCGCCATGAACGGCGGCGGCATGGGGCAGCCGCCGCCCATGTAGCCCCAGGGCCCGCCCATTTCCGCCGCCTGCGGCAGCGGCGGCGCCGCCGCTGGCGCGGCGCTCTTTGGCGGCACGATGCCGGGGGCGCGCACGACGGGCATAGGCATGCCCCACACCATGCCCGCCGACAGCGGTGCGAGCGCGCCCGACACGGGCACGCCGCACGACGGCACGGGCGCGGTCATGTGCGTCGCCGTCGCCGTCGCGGTCGCCGTTGCAGCAGTGCAGGCGGCGGTCGCCGCGCTCACAGACGGCGCGGGCGCGGGCGCGGCGGGGCGCGGCGCGGCGCACGTGGCGTCGTCGCAGGCAGGCGCGGGGGCGCGCGGGGGCTCCGCCGCCTCAAAATCAAACTCTGCGTCATCATCCATCGGCTCTGGCCCTGAAGCTGCGAGGTTGGTGCTGCTTACGCAGGCGTGCGGCGGGCGGTGCCCCGCGCGCAGCGCGCGCACGGGCGGCGGCCGCGCGACGCCGGGGGAGCGGGGGGGCAGGCCGGGCTTTGTGTGCTGGTCCTGCTGCAGCTGCTGCTGCTGCTGCTGCTGCTGCGGCTGCTGCTGCGGCTGCAGCTGCGGCTGCTGCTCGTCGATGCAAGCTAGCGCCGCCGGCAGGCTCGACGCCGTCCGGTCCAGCGGCTCGGGCTTGCCGCCGCACTGGATCCGCATGTCGCCCATCATCTTGCGCACGGTGTGCTGCCAGATGTTGCGCAGCTTCAGCTGGCTCAGCGGCTTGGCAAGGAAGTCGACGGCGCCGAGGCTGACGCCCTGCATGACGTCATCGGGGCTCGGGTCCGCGGCCATGAGGATGCAGGGCACGCCCCTGCAGGAGTCGAGCAGGCCGCTGCGGCCGGCCTTGGCGGCCGCGCCGGCGGCGGTCGCCGCGGCGACGCAGCCGATCGCGCCCTTGTCGGCGAGGAGGACGTCGAAGGCCGACGCGCTGCAGGAGCTGAGCTGGACCACGGCCTCCGCGCACGACGCGCACGAGGTCACCTGCAGCCGTGAAGGGGGCGGGGGCGTCGGGGAGGGGGGCTTGGCGCTCGGCCGCGGGCGGCTGGCGTCGCGATCGGCGCGGGGAGGCGGCGAGCGACGCGGCGCCGAGCGTTTCACGGCCGCGCTAAGATGACGGGCGCATAGTGTGCGGGAGCGTTTCTTCCCCCACCACCAGTCCCCCGCTAGTCACATGGTTCCTGGGCAGGCGCGCCTCACCGAGTAGTCGCAAGCGCGCAGCTGCTCCTCTGTGCGTGCGCGCGCCTCCACGTCGCTGTCCACCAGCAGCACGCGCAGGCCGCTAGGGAAGCCGGGGCGATGAGAGAAGCTGGGGGATCGCTTTGGGGCTCCCATGCTGCCTTGGCGCGTGCGCACGGGCTGGGACCAACAAGGGTAGGTCACGGGGCCCCACGCTATGCGCCAGCAAGGACCGGCGAGGTCGCGACGGGTACGTCGGCTTCACGGCACGGAGGCCAGGCCCGGTGGAGCAATCCTGTGAACGGCAGCAATCACCACAGCCAGGGCGCGTAGCAATGGCTCAGGATACGCACGACGTTTTGCCACTGCTTCCGAAAGGCCTTGCCAAGAGCCCATGGAGGCCCATAAGCTGGCCAGCCGTGCGCTGATCGTGATAGCAACACTTCAAAGACAAGCTTGAGCGCCCCTTGACTCCGTGCCGCGGGCAGCGGACCTTGATGCACCCTGGGAACGGGAGCTCCCGCACCGGCCAGGGTGTGCACCATGGGCAGGCCGGTCCCACGTTCACTAGAGGTACCCTTGCAAGCCGCCGAGTGCGTGCGCGACAACCCAACAGTGCGCAGTTCGGGCAGCGAGACCCGGTCCGCCCGCAGTGTGCGCCAATGAGACCCCACCGTTCACAACTATGCAATGCATGCCCTGAACCCTCACGCAGTAGCTGCCCACCTTGGACGCTCTTCTACGCTATCGGATGCCACACTGCGCTTGGCTCTCGCTGCAGGAACGAGCTCCGATGAAGTTGGGAAGCTCGCTCCACATAACAAACAAAACAAGAAGGCTGCGGAGGTGGACCGCCTGTGCTTACACCCGCCGCGCAAAAATCCTGCCCGCTGCTGTTCCCGTGCTTCGCGCGGCCGCTGGTTTTGGGGGCCCGAGGGGACGTAGACAAGTGAAACAAATATCTGAAAACGTTCCAGCGCCACGGGCTCCCAGGAGTCGGCAAACAAGGCACCAGCCGCAGGCTGGCTGCATCATGCGGGGCGGTCAACGGTGACGATAGCAATATGGTACCGTAGCGTTTCAGGACCCCACTTCAAGCTCTGGAGCCCCGGTTGCTTGAAGTATTGCTGACACGACATGCCTCAGGTGTATCAGAATCACGTTGTCGCCGGGACTGCGGAACATGCACAAGACTCACACTGCTGGCCTGATTTACAGCCCAAGGCCGTACGATTGACCATGTTTGAGCTGGCGCAATGCCTCTTCGTTGCATTACGCAGTATTGACAACTGCAAGGACCTGGGTGGAAACACCCAAATATAACAAGACCTTGGGTGGGATTAGTTATGTTGCCATTCTTGGCCCATGAGCACGCATTGGTGTGAGGTTCAACGGTATGGATGGCGGAATGCGCATGCAACTGTTTTGCTGTGTCATGAGTGTCTGCTGGTAGCGCACATTGGCAGCGTAGGCTAAAAGTGTGTCTTGATGGCTTGTATTGGCGGCGTGTGCGTCGTTTTGTAGGGGGGCAGGAGTCGCAAAAGGACACATCCTGTTGGTTCAAGGCCAGCAAAGCTGCACCACATAGCCGAGCCGAGCGCGTGAGGTATGATATGCAGCATCTGCATGAGATCCTCGCAATAAGCAGGAGGGATGTATCGGTGGCGCGGGTACGGGCAGGGATACATACCCCACTCGCTTTGAGCATACTGCTGCTTGCCACATCTGCCGTGTGCGGTGTCTACGGTGGTGACCACTCTAGGCGCCCCACGGTAATCGCCATCGTTGCTGCATGCATGATACGACGGAATTTCGTCTATATCAGCAAACAAGCAAGATTGATGTGTGCAAGTACTTGACGGCGAAAGAGTCACCTGATTCTTTGTGCTCCGTCGTGCCTGCCCATTCTCCAGGGTGTGGCGACCGTGACCTTCCGAGCTTGCATGTGGCTGCTCGCAGCCGTAACCGGCCCACGTCAGGAGCCTGATGCATGGACCCTGATTGCCATGTAGGAACAACCCATCCCTGCTGCTCGCCGAATACAATTGCTTCCCATTGTAGGGCGCACATGACTGCCAGGCACGCCAAACAGAACATGAGGCAGCTCACGTTGCAAGCGCATTCCTGCAACACCGCAGGGCCAGGGGTCAACCAGTCGTGCTGTGCCTCGATTTGAATTTGGGAGAAACGCATGCTATACGGCATGGCACGGCCTCCCAGACTTTGGCAGGAGGACGGCTTGTTGGGGTTCTGGTGCGCTCCTGTGCGAGCGGCTCCCCGAGCAGTGCATGCAGACCTTTCGTCCGCGCAGTGATTTGGTGAGCCTATGTTCTGGCGCTGCTGACGCGCCTGTGCTCGGCTCCTTGGCTGGACACAGGATGAGAAGGCGCGTTCCACAAGCCACTCACATCTGCAAAGCGCAGCGTGATGGCTTGAAACAGACGGTCAGCAGAACAGCTCTGCGCCCAACCGTGCATGTACCTGGCACGTCATGCCATGTAGCCCCTCCCCCCATCACACCGATTTTACCCGTCTGACCACCGCCGGCTTACGCCGTGCACTCACAAACCCTTACTCCAGCCCAGAGTGAGTGGCTTGTTGTTGCTCTGCGCTGTTGCGGCTTGCTGCTGTGCCGACGAATCACTTTCGTGCGCCCAGTCGCAGCCAAGCTTCGCACACTCACTTCGTGGCAGCTCAGGACCATTTTGATGCCTGAGAGTGAACTCTGTTATTGGTTTTGTATCAGTTCAGAAGCCCGCATGCACCTGTTGCAGCAGCCATCTCCTGTCCCCATTCCGCCGTGGGCCACGGCCCGTGGCATTGCCGACATCGGCCCGTGCGCTGACCGCTATCGGTCGTGGCAAGAACCACCGCTGAGAATTCTGTTGTGATTCCACCTCCCAGTTTCATGCTCTTTGGTGCGGGCCTCCATGCCGGTCTGGGCCCAAATCGCCGATACCAGACGCGGAGCAACGGTGTTACTGGAAGCACAACGACAGCCGATCGGTGGGTGGGTGTGCTTAAGTATATGATTTAACACGCGTTTTTATGATAATTGAGGAGTACACCGTGCCCGGCTCCATTGACCGCAAAATCCCTCACCCGGCTGAGCCGGGTGCGACAACAGTGCTCTTCCTGCGTTCTGCCGAAGACGCCTTCATCTCAGTGTATGGCCGACCACATCAATTTTGTACAAGTTGAAGTGAGCTGATTTTATCACTCTGCAGCGGACGCGCGACCGCGCCAGCCCTCCTCCGCGATGGCGCCCGGCTGCTACATGCTCGATTTTTCGGTGTACAAGCCCCCTGCAGAGTATAAAGTTAACCACACCACTGGAGGGGAGAACGCGAAGCGCTGGTCGGTGAGTTCTGGGCTGACCACAGCCGGCCCCGCAGGGGCCCCAGGCCGCCCCAACAAAGGCTCCGGCAGCCATGAAAGTGTGTATTAGAATCCCTTCAGCAGCTTTCCAGAGCCCGCTGCTGATAGTCACTGCCCATCAGCCATCGCCGATGCGCGCCGGGGGCGCTGAGGCCAAGCGACCGCTACGTTGCCCTGAGCAGGGCGCCATTCATCTGATATCGTTGAATAATCAGACTTGAAGCACGTGGACGGCCATGCGCCACCGGGGCCCACCCCGGGAGCACTACAGCACCTGCCCGCTGCCCCCTGCACCGCTGCGCGCCTGCACCGCCGCAATACCAGCACCGCCTTCGCCCCGCCCCCTCGCAGATGTACATCGAGGAGAACACTCAGTTCCAGCTCAAGGTGGTGAAGAAGAGCGGCTTGGATGTCGACGGCACGTACCTGCCGCCGGCCATCCACCCCTCCATCGCAGACGAGCCCAAGACTGATATGAAGACAGCCATGCTGGAGGCGGAGATGGTCATGGGCGGTGCCGTGTCAGACCTGCTGGAGAAGACGGGTGCGCTGCATGCAAAATCGATGGGACTGGGGCCACAGGCGAGGCCGAGGAGGGGCACGTGGGCGAGGCGGGGCGGCGCTTGGCCGCGGGGGGAGGCGGGCCGGCGGCGCACGCCCGCGGTGGACAGGAGGGCAGGGTGCGGCCAAGGCCTCATGCGAAGGCGCGCAGCGCACAGGCTTTGCGGCCAGGCGCGGCCTCAAGATGCGAAGGCCGCCTAGCGCCGACGAAGCCGCGGCACGCCATTGCGGGCAGCTACAGGCAGCTTGTATGGGTGGGGTGGGGGCGCCCTGCTTGCAGAGCCCCGAAAACCTTGCAGCCGGAGACGCGCCGCAACCATTACACACCCATTTCTCTGGGACGAATGGCAGCCCCCCCCCCCCGCCCCGCCGCCTGCCCTGTTGCTTTGAGGGCGGGAAAGGGGGTAGGGGAATGACCTCTCAGGCGCCGATGGGAAGGCGCCCTCCTTGTGCTGTGGGCCCACTCCCTTGCTCTCGCGCAACTCCCCCAATCCAAAACACGCACGCACACACACACACACACACACACACACACACACACACACACACTCTGCACGCACGCCTGTATATCCCACTACCACCCCCAGGCATCAAGCCCGAGCAGATCGACATCCTCATCTCCAACTGCAGCATCTTCTGCCCCACGCCGTCCCTGGCGTCCATGCTCATCAACAAATTCAAGTTCCGCCGCGACATCCAGGCCTACCACCTGGGGGGCATGGGCTGCAGCATCGGCGTGGTGGCGGTCGGCCTCGTGAGGGACATGCTCAAGGTGCGGGACGCGGGATTGGGGAGGGGTGTGGGCCTGTGTTGCTGGGGGTGTCGCTTGTGATTGGTTTCGTGTGTGTTATTGTGCATTTGTGTCTGGTTTGTGTGTGTGTGTTTGTATTTGTGCGTGTGTGGACACGCGTGTGAGGGAGTGAGTGTGTGTATGTGTGATGGAGTGTATGTGTGTGTGTGTCTTTGTGTGTGTAGACGTGAGCGCGTACATGCATGCGGGTGTGCACGCACCCTCTGCGAGCGTGTCTAAACTTCAAGCTCAGCAGGCGCGTGCGTTTGTGCCTGTGCGCGTGTGTGCAACTGTGTGCTAGTGGTTGGAGCGTGCTTCCAGCAGCCTGTGGGGGCATCTGGACAGCCTGCGCCACGGCGAGGTCCTCGCCCTTACTACGCCGCCGCCAATCAGACCGCCCGCTCACCAGCCCTCCACCCCACCCCACCCCGCCCGGGCCGCCGCCCCGCAGGCGCACCCCAACAGCATCGCGCTGTTCGTGCCGGCTGAGATCACCACCTACTGCTTCTACCCAGGCCGCCACAAGGACTTCCTCGTGGCCAACGCCATCTTCCGCATGGGCGGCGCGGCCATGCTGATGACCAACAAGCCGTCGCTGTACAGCCGCTGCAAGTACGAGCTGCAGCACGCGGAGCGCGTGCACACCGGCCAGGACGACGCGTCATACAGGCGAGCGCGGCGCGTTTATACTGACTGAAGATTTGGGGGGGGGGGTATAGGGGCAACGAGCGGTTGCAGGGGGTTGGCGGGGTGCAGCCAGGGCGCCTGGCCGGAAGGGGTTCGAGGGCGCGGGCGCGGGGCCTGCAGCCTGCGGCCCGGTGGTCTCTCAGCAATGCGGGGCACGGGCCGCCGGCATCTATGCCGACGCAGCCGCAGAGGCCCCGGCGCAGCAGCTTCCGGGGCGCCTCTCGCCCATGGCCCGGCCCCTCGGCGCGGCCGCCCCCAAACCTCCCTGTGCGCATGCTCACGGCTGACGCGCGGCTCGGTCAATGCTGGTACGGACCTGACAGGTGCATCAGCTGGGGGCCGGATGAGGACGGCATCAACGGCGTGTTCCTGGGCAAGGACGTGCCAGTAGAGGCCGGGAAGATGCTGCAGGCCGTCATCGCCAAGGTGCGGGGCACCTTGGATTCGTCAAAGGAGGGTTGGCACTCGACCTTGGGGCTGGGTGCGCAACGGCGCTGACAGCCGCGCCCACGCAGAAGCCTCCGCGCCAGCCCGTGCGCGAGCCGGCCGGGGCGCCTCTAGGCGCCGGCACTGGGCCGCGCCCGCCGCCCGGCCCGTTCTGGAGCGGCCTGGGACGCACGCTGTTTGCGTTGTGCCTCAGGGGCCGGCGCCGCGCCCTGGTGGGGCAGCCAGGCCGCAGGGGGCCCTGAGCAGCCGGGCCTTGCGGTTGTCAAGAACGCGAGCTGCGGCTGCCTGCCCCAACGCCCCGAGCCCGCTGAATGCGCACGCCCCGCCCCGTCTCTCGTCACCCGTCACCCGTCACCAGGTGACGCCCAAGATCATGACCTGGGGGCAGTACGCCGAGGCCGCGTACCGCGTCTTCGGCAAGAAGGTCCTCGGCTGCGACTGGGGCCGCTACGTGCCGGACTACACCAAGTGCATGGACCACTTTGCGCTGCACGCGGGCGGCTACGCGGTGCTCAAGGGCATCCAGAAGGGCATGAGCCTGCCCACCGAGATGATGCTCCCCTCATTCGCCAGCCTGCGCGACATGGGCAACACCAGCAGCAGCACGACCTGGTACAGCATGGCGTACATGGAGCGCTTTGGCATGGTCAAGCAGGGGCAGCGCATAATGCAGGTGCGCATGGGGTGCGCATGCGCGTGCAGCCCCACCGCGCCGGCCCCCCGCCGCGCCGCTGTCTGCTCGCGCCCGGGGGCCGCGCGCCGCTCAGGGGATTGGTCTGCCGCGCGCTGGCGCCCGGCGCTGGGGGTCTGCTCTCGGGCGGGAGAGGGGTGGTTCCGCACTTGCACGCGGCGAGAGCCGGCAACAAGCGACTCACGCCGCGGGCGCCTCCTCCCACCTGCTACCAACCAGCCTAACCACCCCCTCTTCCCCCCCTCGTCCGCCC